GATCGCAATTAGAACAGGCTGCGCTCTAGACATTTTTTTCAAATGGAAGGCCCTTTGATATCTATCATTAGCCCTTTAGCTGACTTCGGGCTTCACAGAGGGAAGGAACATCACAGTGAGAAAAATTCGAGAGGGGGGAAAGAAGAGTGATTCACAGATGTAAAGTGAAAGATAGTCACATAGGCAGATAGGAAAGGTAAGATGGTACTGTGGAAGTTGTCGAATATGACATCGAGTGGGGTCATGTTAGTTTGAAGTCAGAAGTCAACTGCCGGTTGATAGACTTTTTTGCCGTATGAGTATACGTTGCCCAGGGTGCACCACGTGGAGGTAAGTCTATCGCACACCCCGCGCTCTAGACATTAAATTTCTTCATCAGCAGGCAGTAATCACCTCAGTGGTATTGGCTCTTTTTGTTCTTCCTCATTCACTAATATTTACCTTACTCCTAATCATGTGAGGTTCATTCCAATTTTGCTGAATATTTCATGGATATGCATGAAAAACTTAAATAATACTGTTGGTTATTCACTGAAATGAAAATTCGTAATGTAGTTAGCATTTCAAATTTCAAAGGACAAACAGAGAAATTCACCCATGTGTTTTGAATGCCAATCCTTCAAAATTTCTGCAAGAAATTCGTAAGGATCACTAAAACTGATTAACCGGTTCATTGTTTTTACAACGAAAGTGCTTTCGTTTACAATGGTATATACTAAAAACCTCCACATTTCTGGCCGTCTAGTTGATGAGTTATAAGGAAAGACTGGCCATCGAAAGTATTATCGACAATTGCCTGTTTTTGTAACGATCGACACAGATTAGATAAGATCTACATTAGACTATTTATATTATTAGATTCAAAATATATAATCAAGCGTACATGTTGGGCTACGAACTATTAATGTGTAGGCAAAACTCGGTCAGTTGGTGGTAAATAAGATTAAATGACGTGATTTTCTGCATTTTATCACCGCAATTACAATTTGGGCTCATTAGTTGATGGCCTTGACAAATTTACATAAGTCGAAGGATTACCTCCGTGACTTACATATTTTCTGGTTCTTTATGAAAGTTTTCTTCATTACACCCAAGATTTCTTCCAATACAATAATTCAGAGAACCAACAACGATTTATTGGATCGTCAGTATTTATTTACCTTCAATGTCTCTAAGCTATTTTTCGTTGAGGCCCTTTATTTGCATGTTAATCTCTTAAACGCCGAATCGCATTTAGTTGTTTTCAACCGAGCATTTTAACAGTTATGATTCATTTATGGTTGGAGAAAAAAATAATTCTAAAACGGCTCATCTTGATACCTTCCATTTTACCATAGTGTTCAAGATTTTCACAATATTCATCTTTATTTACCTCAGTTGGTTGAAGAACATTCCTCCACCATCAATTAAGAATTTGTCAACGAAAACTTTGTTGTCGAAGGCAATTCGTTCACTTCTTTGCTACAGTTGGAAATCGTGTCTTGTTGCTTAATCTTGTCTTAAGTGAACGAAAATTTTATGTTTTTCTATTACATCACGAATTCTGACTCTTCGAAAGCTTCTTTCGTCCTCACTTTGATAATCAATTTAATATAATATCAGGAATTACTCACATAAAATTTTTGGAAATACGTGAAAATCAATTTTTTCTTACTCGACCAATCAATAACCTTTTTAAACCGATATAAGTTAATCTAATTTAAAACATAATTCAATTAAATTTAATGAGCTTCTCAAAGATATAATTAGTTAATGGAAGGAAAACGGACTATGAAATTCGGAAGTCTCAGCATAATTTCTGCACAATCCCTGTTAATGTTTGTATCAAATTTTTAAAATGCCTTCATTGTTTATACATCTACATTACATTGCGTTTGTTTGCAGACAGTAGTTTTCAAGTGAAAAGGCTTGCGCTTGATTACATTTTCTTAATCAAACTGTCGAATTGTTCGCAGGTCCAGCACCACCGGTTCTGACAATTGGTGAACAGGCGGCCATCGCTGTTGCCGCTTTTCTGATGATCCTCGTAATCACAGAAGTGGGAATCTTCACTTGGCGTAGTGTGAAGTCTGACAAAGAGACTCGAATGAGTCAGTATTACGGCTCTTTGCCTCAATCCCAGCACAACCAAGAAGCTCAAATGGAGCTCATGCTTTGAGGCGCGAAATACACTTCCATTCCAATTATTTGTAAATATGCCCACTCCCATCCCCACTCCCCAAACTTTGTATTCTCGTTTTTGTAAATCCTCTTCTTATCGGTTTTTGTAATTCCATTAAAATTAATTGTGCCCCTGTGGCTGTTTATTTAAAAAGATATGGACATTTATTTTGAGCTTAAAGTTATCAAGTGATGAAGAAAACATCTTTGTGAAATCATCGGTTAATTTCTGCGTTACATCATGATCACTCATGGCTAGGCGCATATTTACAAATTTGATAATAATAATGTCCAATGAATGAAAGGAAACTTGAAATCATTAGCAAGCTATCAAACGCGTTCGGTAATAATTAAATTGAACGGTCGGATCGTAAATTCACCTATTGAAAGTGGGTATCAAGTGCCTTTAGTTGAATACTTCAATTTCTTTTAGGCCTTATAATTGGTACTGTAGTATCCAAATGCTGAAAAGCCGTCTTTATGATTTTATCTGCAATAATTAGGACAGTTGATTTAATTAAGTATTGTTTAGTACCACGTCAATTGATGTGTCTCTTCGTACACACACAAAAATAACTTCAGTTCGCCTTGAGTTAAACTGGAAATTCAACAGACAATGGGATTGGCACCCGCCAGCATTTCCTTTGCAAGAGTCTCAGAAAAACGTGCTTAGTCTACCTGTTGAATGGGCTTTCACTTGTTGTCTTTCCACATACATAGCAGTCCATCGGGCCAAGATCTGGGTAATTGGGAGGTCAAACAGACATTGAGCCTATTGTAGTTGTAAAAATTGGCTGACGACCATTTTCGGCTTTTCTCTGAGACGTGGAAAGGGGCTGGATCCTTCTGCCGTCATGCAAATGACCCATCGTTCAATACCTGCAGTGATCAGCAATTGCATATAGGCATAGGAATTCTAACCAAGTTCCTCTTTTGAAATTATTGAATGTGGTACCGCATGACCCTATGAAAAACACTTTCGAAACCACGACAATTTGGGCTGATTTAGTCTTGATGACTCGGGGGTGGTTTTCTTCAATTTCCTCTTATTCTGTATGTTGTGGTCTTATAACCTTGTTGAAACTTTTCACATCGTTAAGGAACCATATTGTACCAGGAAGTTCCACTTCGACCAGAAGTTTCTTCGCCTCTGTCCATGAGAGGTGGCCGCTGTGACGCTTGTTTGTAAGAATTGTAGCGAAGGTCTTCACTAACAGTGAACTTCGTGGTAGAGGCTGAAATATGTAAATAACTGTGGCGATAAAGGCCGATTTGCAATGCCAATGTATTCCAAAAGCAGATCAGATTGTTATGTAGCTTTCTTCTAGCCACAATGGCCTCGAAATTTCTCTTGTAATTCCACAGTTCATGCCGTCTTTCTCACAGTGTTGAGGAAGCATTGAGCAGTGTCCATAATCTCCTTGCTCTCAAGGCCACTGCGAATCATCGTGGTAGAAGCTATTTCCTTCCATGATTGCCATTGGCTCAAGTCATCGCGAGTATGAACGAAGAGGAGTTTGAGCTTTTGAATTATTTGATGTGTTATTTGGAACCCTTAAGATTGCAATTCTAAAGATCTGTTTAAATTTAGACAACCTAAACTTGGTAGTATTTCCTACTGACTGATTTGAAAACTGGAATTCCTTTTTAGTTTTCAAATTGTCATCTTGCTTTTGGGGAAACTGACTATAGGCTGAAGTCGCGTTACCAATAAACGTTGATAACCGGGTTACTTTTAAATTTAATCTTTCTTCAACTAAAAGTCGACTTTGAGTTTTTTGCAATTTTTTATAACGAGCTCCTTTTTAAACAGCAACAATGTTTCAAATGGATAAAATGCTTCCAAATATCTCAGCCCACGAAATGCGTACTAATCGAAATTGAGCTTTAATAATAAAACCCCCAAATTTCCCCCAAATAAATAAAAATATTAAATTGAGTAATCGATTCTGTAATGCTTATTATTTCCAATAGTTAAAGTCATCAAGTTTCCATTAATCTTCAAACGGTTTCCACATTACCGTGATTTTCGATGCTTGAATGCAGCTTGATAATATCCAGCTTCATCCATTCACAAACTACTTTCTACTCGATTATTTATGATCGCTTCATCAGTACTCCTTATTGGTAAATTGGGGAACCATCAACGCCGGGGACTCCAGAATCTCCATTAATCTCAGAAGTCTGTAGCCGAATTTCAACACGAACTCTGATATTCTATTTAGCGTCAATTTTATTCAATTAAGCAGTTTAATTTTATTCAGTACTTATTTACCTCCAAGAGGAAGTTTTTACCAGACTATCAAACCATCAACTTTCTCTTTCAAAATCGTTTACATTTCTACTCAAGTCAAATAAATGCGATAATGTATAAGAATTTTGTGATGTAAACAAAACTCTGACATCGGAGCAAGAAGCAAGTCCATTAAGTTTCGGTTTCAAATACCAAATAGGCAAATTTACAGCATAATCTCAATAATTATTAAGAAAAACAAATCGAGAAAAAATTGAAATGCCCATGATCTCTTCAGATTCTTAAATTATTAGGTTAATTCAAACGTGTTTTCGCATAAAAGTGTCAAAGTTTCTGTTTGTGAATTCGTCATCTAACTGCTTAGCAAAATTAAAATTTAAGTTAAAGAAAATGGAATGGGCTTAGATCACAGGAGGATATGTTCATCCAGTTATTGGGCAAATTTATTGCAATGTTTTTTTCTAAACTTCGATGGTCTATTTTGATAAGAACAGTTGAACAGAAGTTTCTCTCAAGGAGTGCTATTTCCCTAACAAAACAGTTATTTATGCAAAAACTGGACATGAATTTTCAGCTCCGTTTTTTCCCAACTAATATCGTATAGGTTGTGGGTTTTTCAGCCAAAAAATGAAGTTCAAAAAATAGATCAGCATAAATAAACTATTTAAGTATGAATGAAATTTGGTTATAAATTTCTCTGCTTCCATAACTCAGGAAGGATCAAATATGTTTCGATTACTAGGTGAGGCAAAGGTAAAATAGGTTCTTATGACCTTGAAAGTAACCTTTCCAAACAGCTTAATAGGTGGTTGGGTTCACTAGATCAAAATTTCCTAAGGTCTATTCAGTACATTCTATTGGAGCTTAACTCTCTTGCAAGATTGGGGCAAATGGTAAAAGATGCTGGCAACGGGGACTGGAGTCCCATTCCTAGTCTTTATCTCAGTCAGTTTAGATTCATCTAGTTCCAGGAAAAGAGGCGTTCAAAGATCCAGATTGTTTGGCATCACCACGAGGAGTTTAGTTAGCACAAAAAGACTAAATTTTTGTCATTCTGCGGCCAGTATAGAAGGCCACTAATGTATTGGAACTCATAAAACATCGTTTGAAATTATCACACCAGAAGAACGTTGTCTCATTTCCGTTTAGTCACTTAAATACCCAAATATATAAATTTCAATGATAGGTAATCTTTTCATTGACCTTGAAATTGCCTTCCACAAATAAGCAATAGAATCTACCAAATGTCAGTGGTTTCTCTTTTGAATGCGCCTGGGGGGGGGAGTGAAGGTTAAAGTCTACATCTAATTCAAAGTGCCATCTTCAATATCATATAATCATCAATAATTATTGATTATTGCTGACGAGGGCGGCCGCAAATGAAAACTCGGTGGTCTTGAGCACTACCTGCCCTGATGTTTCCATTAATGGGGTGCGTACGTGGTGCACCCTGGACAACGTATCTTTGTACGGCAAAATGGTGGGTGCACCCTGGACAACGTATTTTCTTACGGCAAAAAAGTATATCACTCGAGGTGCACCCTGGACAACGTATTTTCTTACGGCAAAAAGTCAATGTGCACCCTGGACAACGTATTTTCTTACGGCAAAAAATCTGACCCTGGACAACGTATTTTCTTACGGCAAAAAAGTCTATACTCGGCATTCGTTTTTGACTTCGATTTATTATGATTAGCCCATACGTTTTTGACTTCGATTAATTATGATTAGCTTTGAACCAATTTATTATGATTAGCTTTAAAAAAGGCTATAAGAGAAATTGCTCTCGTTAAGGCCAATCACAACGTCTAAGATCCTCCAGTGGAATGCTGGAGGGATGTCACAGGACAAAAAGGTCCAAGTACAGCAGTTACAGAAAAGGCTGCAAACCTATGATGTAGACATTTTCACAATTATGGAAGCTAACATTTCGGATGACAAACTGAATACAACTATGGAAGCTAACATTTCGGATGACAAACTGAAGTGAGTGGACGTACAGAGGGGGGATGTCACAGGACAAAAAGATCAAAGTCCAGAAAATCCCAAAAATTTATGATGTAGACATTTTCACAATTATGGAAGCAAACCTTTCAGATGACAAACTAACCAATTCCCAGGTTACACCCTGTACCTTCTACCTAAATAAATTCTCAGGTTACACCCTGTACCTTCTACCTAAATACCGGGCAGGTTACACCCTGTACCTTCTACCTAAATACCGGCAAGTAAAAGAAGGCCTCACCTCACACTACGATCTAATCAAAAGTATGAGCTCGACACAAGACATATGTGAAATGATCAGTTTAAATGTTTGGAAATTTCAAAATCACTTCAAGGTATATGCAGTCTCTAATCCACCCCAGAATTGTCCCAACATTGACTTTCTGAACATCTCACACAAAACTGTTAAACTAGGAGACTTCAACGCCCATTCCACCAGATGGGGCTACAAGGATGCAAACATAGCTGGAAAGGAAATCGAAGACATGCTCAAAAGCAACCCTCTGGAACTTATTTACAGCAATGAGGGTCCTGCTACATACTTGCACTACAATGGAACCAGAACAACTCCTGACTTGCCCCTGGCTTCAAGCGACATCAGCGAGTATACATGCCGCAAAATTATTGACAAACCTGGTTCTGGTCACAAACCAGTCATTGCTAGTATTACCATCGGCAGCAAAAGCATGAGCTGGTCCAAAACCGGTCATTGCTAGTATTACCATCGGCAGCAAAAGCATGACATGGAAAGTGCAACTAAGCTATCATGGGACTTCAAGAAGCCTGACTGGTCTAGATTCACTAACCTTTTAGACAATGGAAGTCCCCTCAACTTCAACCAACATCCTGACAAACTTTGCACTGATATCACGAATATTATGATCAGATGTGCAAAAAAAACTATTTCCAGAGGCAAGACTAAACACGATCGAGTGTTTTGGTCTAAACACCTTGAGGAAGTGAAGAGTAAGCGGGAGGCCCTTCGCAACACTGCTGATCAGACTGGAAGAACGGAAGACGTACAAGAATGGAGACGACAATCAGCTGTCCTAAGGCAAGCCATCTTACAAGTAAAACGGACTTCCTTCGACAAGTTCATCTCAAATATCAACTATCAAAGTGATAGCAAACGCACTTTCAATTTCCTGG